CCCATGGTGGGTCTCTCTATCTTCCTCCTCCTCTTTCTATTTCTATCTCCTTATCCTTCCCATGATCCTCCTCTCCTCAAAGCCTTTGAGCCTTAGCCACACCTTCCTTCCTTCAGCCTGCCCAGGGGTGTCTGAATAATAATTTTATTATTAACCAATCTGGAATAATTTCTCAGACATGGTTTATAAAACAAGGACAAGTATATGTGAGAATGTGCTCCTCTGGACAGCAACCAGGTCTTGGTGGCCAGTCATTACCATTAGAATGCAGAGCACCAGACAAACCCCCAAAATGGCACGGTGATGTCCACATCAAATTTTGGGGGACATTTAGAACCTCTTCACAAACACAAATGCCTTGAGGGTGGTTTTGGTGGGGCAGGCTTCATTGTGTTAATTGGCTCATTCTAAATGTTTCCTTGAAGTGATGAAATCTCAATAAGAATTAACATGAGAGCACTTTTAAAATGCCTATTTCTTATTTCACAGGACCAGAAGGGAGCTTTTGAACTGGGATTATGTTCAGGTACACTGCAGGAATTCTTAAAAAAGAAACAATTCAGGAAATGTGAAAAAGAAAAGTAATCCCTAGCTCCATTACTCCTAGGAAATTATGACTGCCGTTTGTTATAGCTTCCCACAAACTTGCTATGGATTTAGGGTACACTGCACACAGTGCTTGCTCTTACTTGCTGACATCATATGAAGACATCTTCTAGATCCTTAAATATTCCCTTTAAGCATAGTTGGCTTTACCCACCTGAACCGGGCATGGTTTAGTCTCTCATGGTTGGACTTCAGTTGGCTTGCACAATTTGGTTTCATAACACTGTGACTAGGGTCTTTGTGCTTTTTGTCCATTGGCCCATTTAATAATCAGTGCTTACTGAATGAATATTGTGTGCTTGGATAAGAGCCAGAAGGTAAGCATATATGATTAATCATAACCCTTCAAATAGATAACATTTATTCCTATTACTCAAGCCCATGTTCTTTTTGGATACTGGGATGAAAATTATATTAATATAATAATCATTGTAACAAATAATGTGAGATTTTAGCATTAATTGAATTCTTTTTCAAATTTATTTTTTTTTATAAATTACATTTTATTCACTTTGTATCCCAGCTGTAGCCCCCTCCCTCATCACCTCCCAATCCCACCCTCTCTCCCTCATCTCCTCCCATGCCCCTCCCCAAGTCCACTGATAGGGGAGGTCCTTCTCCCCTTCCATCTGACCCTAGCCTACCAGGTATCATCAGGACTGGCTGCATTGTCTTCCTCTGTGGCCTGTTAAGGCTGTTCCCCCATCAGGAGGTGATCAAAGAGCCAGCCACTGAGTTCATGTCAGAGACAGTCTCTGTTCACATTACTATGGAACCCATGTGGACACTGAGTTGCCATGGGCTATATCTGTGCAGGGGTTCTAGGTTATCTCCATGCATGGTCCTTGGTTGGAGTATCAGTCTCAGAAAAGATCCCTGTGCCCAGAATTTTTCGTTCTATTGCTCTCTTTGTAGCATTTCTGTCCCTTCCAGGTCTTTTTTATCTCTCCGTTCTTTCATAAGATTCCCTGCACTCTGCCCAAAGTTTGGCTATAAGTCTCAGCATCTGCTTTGATACCTTGCTGGGTAAAGTCTTTCAAAGGTCCTCTGTGGTAGGCTCCTGTTCTGTTTCCTGTTTTCTCCCTCTTCCGATGTCCATCCCATTGCCTTTCTGAGTGAGGACTGATTATCCTACTCAGGATCCTCCTTTTTGCTTAGTTTCTTTAGGTGTACATATTTTAGTATGTTTCCTTCACCTTACACACATCAGAATCGATAAGATCAAAAAACTGAAGTGGCAACACATGCTGGAGAGGATGTGGAAAAAGGGGAACCCTTCTCTATTGCTGGTGGGAATGTAACCTTGTACAACCACTTTGGAAATCAATCTGGTGCTTTCTCAGAAAATTAAGAATAGTGCTTCCTCAAGATCCAGCACTCCTAGGCATATATCCAAAAGATGCTCAAGTATACAACAAGGACATTTGCTCAACCATGTTTGTAGCAGCTTTAGTTGTAATAGCCAGAGCCTGGAAACAACCCAGATTGGTCCCTCAAAAGAGGAATGGATACAGAAATTGTGGTATGTTTACACAAAGGAATACTACTCAGCAATTAAAAACAAGGAAATCATGAAATTTGCAGGCAAATGGTGGGAACTAGAAAAGATCATCCTGAGTGAGGTATCCCCGAAGCAGAAAGACACACACAGTATATACTCACTTATAAGTGGATATTAGACACATAATATAGAATAACCGTACTAATTGAATTCTTAAGAGGTATGTTATTAGTGTCTCTGTTTAGGTGAGGAAGTGGAGCTTTGGACAGTGGTAGCTGCTTGCTGGAAAATCCTCAATGGTAGCATCCCACCTCAAGGCCTGCTTCTTCACCCCGCTGTGCACTGCTAGCCCACCCCTCCCCCCGGTGAACACCATGCCGGTAGAAAAGACTCAGTTTAAGATGCACTGTAGTAGAGTAAATCTCTGATCATTCCCTTAGGACCAAAGCTAAAAAGTGAAACACTGGATTAAAATATCAGCAACTCTCTAGCTAATGCTCTTGCAGCCCAAGTCTTCAAAGGAGAGGAGGGAGAGATGACATCGGTCACTCTTTTCATCCCTCCTTCCCTCCAGCTCTCCTTCCCTTCTTTCTCATTCCTCCTTTCCTCCCTTCCTTCCTGTCTTTCTTTTTTCCTTTTTGTCTTGGGTCCCTGTCCTTGCTCTACCAGGGACAGCAGGAAACAGACCTAGCATGGCCCTGCATATAGCTCATGCCATCCAGGCTGGGTAAGGGCATAGCCACCTTTCAGATGTGTCTGTTTCTTCCTGATGCTGCTAAATGCAAGATGTCAAGGAGGAAGGGATAATAGGCAGACAGCTCCTGGGAGGAAAGCGTCCAGGCCACAAGGAAACCCAGGTGGTATCATCAGGTAAACAGGAGCTCCTGTTCAGGAGTCACCAGGGTTGGTGGGTTTCTCATTTCAGTTAGCATCTAGTTCTCCGTCCCAGCTGGCCCCTAGCAAGTATATGGACGGTGACTGTGGTGTTCTCTCTGCTCCTCCTATTGCCACCCTCTGTCCCCAAATGACTGTTACCTGTCCTCTGCCCTGGTCCCCACCTTTCACTGTTATTATGGGGAGCAATAGCCAAAGTCCCATGATTCCAGCTGTTGTAGATATGTGGCTGACTTTGACATTAACCTGCTATGTGGTCTTTGACAGTCTTTTTTTGATTCTGTTTCTCACTTTTAAAGCAGGGGCTAGCCGTGTTGAAGGGACCCAATAGCTACCCTTGGTTCTTTTTTACAGGTGTAACAAAATAAAGCAGTGTTAAGTAGATACCTCCATTTAGTCCTCAAAACAGGCCTGTGGTAAGAGGAGTCTGCACACTTCTCGAGAACATCGCCACCAGCCTTACCTCTGTGGCTGAGCTAACATTGCTTGCGACACAATGAGGGCGGCTAATCAGTTGGCTTTATAGGAAGGTGTTAGGATTGAGGTAACAGCACAAACCCTTTAAAATGCAAGTGTTTTCTCTGGCTGTTGGCAAAAGATGAAGCCAGACAGCTTTGAATCTTGGAGGGACTTAGTTCTGTTAGAGGTGGGGGTGATGAGAAGCATCATGGGTGTCGTGAATATGCCATAGGTTTAAAAATACTTATTTATAGGAAAACTGTGGGTCTAAAATAAACTATGTTCTTGATCAGCTTTGTACTGTAAAAGGCACTTTGAAAGTGTTTTGGGGGCTATGGTGTGGGGTTACAATGATACCTCTCCTTTCTCCCCGGAATTGTATTTGCTGCACCAGTGAGAGTTAGGGCCGAGAGTCAGGAAACCGCTCATATTCACTACAACCCACCTAACACCCATTTTCTCTTTCCCCCCCTCCAGCCAGCATTTGCTGCCTGCCTACTGTGTGCCATGACTATGCTGAGCAGGCCTGAGAGTGTAAAGGCTCTCTAGCCCTCATACTTCATATACAAAAGTCAGGGGATTTAACAGCACGTTTTCTAGGGGCCCTGTTGTGTTTCTGAACCTCTGGCTTTGACACAGTTGGTCAGCATTTTCCAGACCACAGCCTGACCCCACCTGCGGGGGAGTCTGGGTGCAGCTAATGAAGAGGCAGATCCCTAGGTAGCTCCAGGCTTACTGCAGCTCAGGACCGGGTCGTCCGTCCATAGTGGCAGTTACAGCTGTGAGCAGTGAAATTCGAATGTTCTGCTGGCCCCTTGTCCCGAGTCTCAAAGAGCACCCTTCCAGGCTGGTTCGTGGAAGAACAACAGGCCACACCTGTGTGTAGCAGTGTCCAGGTTCCAGCCTTGCCCATTCTGGGCCCTCCTGCCTAGAAGGGAGAGAGCTGTGGCCACCCAAAGTCGCCCTCTCCCCTTCAGGGTGTACTTATGCAACTCCCACCCAGCGGCAGGGGCTCACGTGTGACACGGTCACAGGGAATGGGGTTCTTCATCCTGCTTTGGAGCCATCTCCATCCCTGCTGGAAGGGTGGAGCTGGCGCTGGCCCGTGGGGAGCCCTTGTGGGCAGCTCGCATTCTGTCGTGGTGCCTCACCAGGTCAGCGGACCTGGGCCCCCTCCCCTCCCACCTGCATTGTCGCAAACGGAGCAGAAACTGGGGAAGTGGGTCACCAGGCGACTCCGGTGAGCAGCCCCCCCTCCCGCCTTTGCTGCCAGCTCTCGGCGAGGCTGTCGGCACCTGCTCCCACCCGGCGGCCGGCTGCATCGCCTGCATCCCTGTGCGTGGGCGGGCCGGGCTGTCGCTGCGTCGCCTCGCAGCGCCCGCCGCCGCCTCCGCGGGTCGTGCGCCGTTGGCCCTCCTGACACCCCTTCGGCGGGGCCCTTCCCTTTACTACCAAGCCTGTGACATTCAGCGGGGAAGGCTAGCGCGGCCGGGGCTCCCGCGGCGCGAAGGCTGGGGGCTGTCTGCTCCTCTCACCCGGGCACCTCCTCGGCGGCGGCGGCGAGCTCCCCGCAGGCAGGCCCGGAGACACCCCCTCCCCCGACGGGACAGCCTTGGCGGGCGCATCCCCCGCCCTCGCCCTGGTCCACGGTCTTCAGCCCGCCCTGCCCAGCCCGGCTCTGCAGGACGTGGAGGCTGGCTGCCAGCGCGAGGGGGACCCTGCCTCCCTGCTCGTATATGGCAAAGTTTCTCGCGGCGCTCCTGGGCTGCACGTTGCCGAGCAAGGGCGCCTCTCCCGTGCTGGAGGTAGGTGGAGGGTGTGTCCTGCAGGGGCGATGACCCGCATCCCATCCCGTGACACGTCGCCGCCAGGGTCCCCGCCGCTTGGCTTGTGCGTCTCACCTGGAGGACTTCTGGGGCGGGGCCTGGAAGGGTGGTGCTGGGGAGGTGGAAGCCGCGGAGCTTGAATTCCTTCCTCCCCAGACCTTGCTGCATGTTTTGTTTTTCTCCCCGCCAGTCGGCAGGGACATGCTAGGCACATTGGAGAACGAGCCGTCGCCTGCACACCCTTCCCGCTGCCTGCCTTGACTTTTTTCCTAAATTAGTAACGGAAAACAACCTTTCGATCCCAAAGGTGTCCACCGTCTTGCTTACTGTAGCCGCTCCCTTCCCCCAACCTCCAGCGAGGCGTAGTAAACTCCGTGCAAGTTAACTCATTTCTTCTGGTGTGAGACAAGCTGGGGAGTGGGGGGTTGAATAGGATCGGCCAAATCTCGCCTTCTGAAGGCGGGCACACCTAGTTGCTCACACCTGCGCTGGTGGCATGCCCCCTGCTGCAGTCTTGCTCGCTGGCAGTTGGCTGGCTGGCTTGTTCATCCTCCTGGGGACATGGCCGCATCAGCGGTTTATATGAGACCGAATATGGGCCACTCAGTAGGGACAGTTCCTGCTGAGTGACCTTTTACACTCTACGCTCAGAACAGAATACCCTTTGTCTCTATCGCTCCTGCCCTCTCCCACAGACTGCCTGACAAGCAGGCCAGGACCAGAGGGCCTGGCTCTGGCCAGGTCAACTAGCCTTGTCCCTGTCTCATAACCCTCCTTGCCTTGTCCTCACTGTCAGCAGTTTCCAGACTGACAGAGACAGAGACTCCGTTTTCTTCTGTCAGGCATGTCCTTCAGCAAGGTACTCCTGCCCCAAACTCTCAGCGTCTGCCTCAGCTGCCTGTTGGCCCCCTTCACCTTTACTATCCTAGGCTTTCTCCTGAGATCATGTGGACTCATCCCCTGTGGTTTTACAGCTCAGGCTGTCCAAGGCACAATCTGCTATGTGGTGATATGTATTTATTTGTTTGCTTGCTTATTTATTTACTTACAAGCAGGGAGTGGTAGGGAGGAGCTTGGGGAAAGGAGGACAGAGCAGGAAGAGGCAGGTAAAAACGCCCGCACAGGTGGAAGCTCACACCTAAGAGATGAAGGGTCCAGAAAGGGGAAGTTGTTCCAGGCTTTCGTCAGCATTAGCCATCTTCCTTGACATCTTCTGACAGTGTGTCAGACAGATGCTAGGCCGCCAATCTGGAGATTCGAGGTGTTCCTTTAAAATGGCTCTTTTCTTACAGTTCCCTTTCATCAGGGCTGGGATTTTTGTTCTAAAATTCCAAACCCCTCCACCAAAAGATTTTGGTGTGTGCACAGATTGCCTTTTGGATACATGCTCATGTGTTCCTCTAGTCAACAGGTGCCTCACCTTGGCTTCCCAGTTATTCTAGAGAAGCGCCCCCCCCCCCCATAGTTACACACACTTTTAGGTGATTGTTATTTTCTAACAAGAGTGGCCTTGAGAAATTCCAGGGGAAGAGAAGTCCCTCCATCCTTGGTAACTCCTTAGATCTTGCTTTGAGCTATTTCACACCCATCCAGAGGCAGGAGCTCCCCTCAGCTTCTCTTCTCACTATCTTCCTACGAACAGTGGAGTTATTGTTGGCTGAATCGACCTAAGATGTGTATCACATTTCATCAGTGCCACTGGAGGAAAGGTGTCCAAATCGAGGAGGAGCTGATACAGAAATGCACTTTGTGGATGTCTTTTGACTATATTCTATTGCTCCTTAGAAGGGTGTGGTTCAGCTTACTACGTCTGGGATGGAGAGAATTGTGGAAGAGAAATAAGCCCCTCTGAATATTAATATCTTGAAAATGCTAAGGTACTGGAAGAATAAGGGCAGAATTTAATCCGAAAATACCAGCTGTTCTAACACTGAAGGCTCCCTTTAGTTCAGGGAAATCAGGAAAAAGAAGTGGGCATTGTCACAACGTATAGCCTTTGGTTTCATTTTAGTGAGACTGTGGCCAAGAACATAGTTCCATCTTACATTGGCCAAGTACGTGTGCAAGAGAGATTCTTTCCGATGAGCATGGAGGCTAGGACCTGTTAGCATCTGCAGTTTTTTAAAATGGAGAGGTGACAGGTTGTGATAAAATAAACAATTAAAAAAAAAAACAGGGGCAGAAAGTCTCTGGGATTGCAAAACAGCTCCAGTGTATGCCTGCCTGCACCACCTCCAGAGGCTCAGCACAGGCCATGCCTGCACACTGCAGCCAGAGCGTCTTAATGGGCATTTTGTTTCCTTTTGTGCCCTTAGTAAGATATGAAAATCTGCAAAACAAAACAGAAACAACTCCAAGTCTTTGGGACAATTAAAAACTTGTAGGGGGGAGGGAGTGAAGGGCAGTGAGGTTACTTTAGGACCACAGCGTGGACTGAGCACCAGCCTAGCGGTTTTGGAATGTTTGTGCCAGCCCCAGGCGGACCATTTACAGACACAGCAGGTTTTCTCTATATTCTGTGATCTAGGCCATTCATGAAAGTGTTTCCTGACCTAGGAGTGTGTGTGTGTGTGTGTGTGTGTGTGTGTGTGTGTGTGTATGTGTGTGTGTGTGTGTCCCTGGCATTCTGTTCCCTTTGAGTTATGGCGATATGGTCATGCTCCCCACTTGTAGCCCAGTTTTGTCTTCTAAGACATGGCGGAGAAGAAGGCATCCAGAGGCTAGTGCCTCCATCGTCCCTGCTGCTCTCCTCTACTGCGCAGTGTAGCTGCATTCTTCCTTCCTGTCACCCTTAGCTGACTCAATGGAGTATCTTTAAGGAGTCACCTATGTTGGGTGAACACATTCAGCTCTTATACAAAAGGAGTGATCAATGCCTTCCTGGGTGGAGCCTCTAGAGTGGCCATGTATCAGGTAGCATCTACAAGTTCACACCTGTCTCGACCAGTATTGCTGTCTAAGTGTACGTACAGCTTGACTTTCTACTATGCATAGTATCCGGTAGCTATCATTATCATCACGTTTTTCTAGGAACATATTCTACATGATCTCAGCTGTGCTAATAACAGTCTTGTGACATAGACATGATCCATTACATTTTGCAGATGAGAAAATCAAGATCTTTAGAAAGTATAAATAATTTACTTAAGGTCACTGTCATAATGGGTGTGAAAGTGGGGGTGCTAATCAAGGTTTCATTATCTCCGAGGTCAGTTCACCTCATCCAACTGTGGCTACTTAGTTATTGGAACTGGTTTCTGCGATGGTTCATATCAACTGTCAACTTGACAGGATCCAGAACCAGCGAGGGCAGCTCTAAGCACATCTGTGAGGGATTTTCTAGACTGGGTTAATGGATGTGGAAAGGTCCATCTTAACTGTGGGCCACACCAGTCCACAGACTGAATAATAAGAACACAAGTTGCACAACAGAATCGCTTCCTGGCTCGGGGCAATGAAACCAGCAGCCTCATATTCCTGCTGGCCTAATTGTCCCAGAATGGGGGACTGGATCCTCAATCTGCGAGACCAAGTGACAAAACAAACCCTCCTTCAAGTTGTTTTTGTTGAGTGTTTAGTCCTAGGGATGAGAAGAGCAACCTACAGTTTGTTTTGGCTTGGGATGCAGTTTTCAAAAGAGGGAAAGGTTCTCTCACAGTCCTTATCATGTCACCGTTGGCACAACAGGAGCTTTGCTCCCGCCCAGGGACGTTTAAAGGCTGATTGAACTTTGACAAGTCATTTTTGGGAAACATTCAAGGCGGTTGAGGTTGCCCTGTAGAGGTAGCAGCTGCCTGTACAGTGTTTTCCTGTGCTATCTTTCCATTTTGCGGAACATTTTTCATTAGCTTGTGTTCACTGTGCAAAATAACAAGTTTCCTTATTCTCCCAAGAATGTTGTGAAATTAGTGCATGTTTCACGAACAGGAAAGCCCGGGCTCAGAGTGAGTCTATGAATTGTCCAGTGTTACCCACCTGCTAAAGATCTAGCCTAGGAAACAAATCCTGGGCTTTTGGCCACAGTTCTTGACAGACACTTGCGTTGACTTACATGGTTTCTTGGCCTCCGACGTCTCTCTCATCCGTTCAGTCTTTTGTATTCTATACCAAATCGTGTTTCTAAAAGGCCGGCACAATATGGTGATCATTTAATTGTTACAAATTCCTTGGTGGTTTACAGCTATATGCAGGTTAAGTGTGGCACATGGACCTTCTCCGTAGTTGATTACAGTTTGGTGATCTTGTCCAGTCTCCCCTTTGTTCTGTTATGTTCTTAGTATTCTGGTAGTTTTAGTGTTCTTCCTTCCACTTCTTGTTTTCGCCCTGACACCTGTATGCTGTTTTGACGCCTGAAAATTTCTTCCTCTGATGTTCAATGTTGAAGTTTCATCTGTCTTCAACATTCCACTCTGATATCTCCTTCAGATCTATTCCCTGCACAATATCCGGACTGTTACTACAGGTCTTTTGAACAGTGTTTGTGTGTGTGTGTGTGCAATTTTAAACTGTTTCAGTTATGTCTTCATTGGGGATTACAGTGCTTAATGCAAGGAACTGAGGGTTAAATTAATTAATTCCCACAAACTACTTAAAATAGTGCTCAATACATGTTAATTTATTGATACTGTGATGAGTCTCTTCAGTCTCAGAAATGATGCACTTTTCCTTTCTCTTGCACTTAGCATAGTGTTTTCACATACTTTTCCATCAAAGAAGTGTCTGATAGATCAAAATGATCTTCGAACCCTGTAGTGTCAATACAAATACTTTACTGGATATATATATATATCCAGTAAAGTATTTGTTCAAGTTCATATGAAATTCAGAGTTAACAGATCATCATGTCTTTTCATATAAAAGATCAGACAGTGCTGTCTTTCTATGCTTCTCTTTTCCCCAGAACCCACATACCCATACACTTTGTGGAACCCTTGTTCCCATTCCCCCTGTTTACAGCCTCTGCATTTCCAGTGATCACA